ATAGACAACAGAGAGCGAATTAAATTCAGCACTTTTATTTCCAACATGCACCCATTCATGGCTGCATATTATTTAATTCACGCAAAGTTGCAAAGTTACGTCTTTATTGGGACTTGACGGATTATTTTACGTGACTCCGTGAGTTGGTCTCAATTTCTTCGAGGCAAGCTGCATAAACTGCATATCAGGCATTTATATAATGCATCTAATTTGTGCATTAATGGCTGTTATGTTAAATAAAGTTTACTAACTACAGTAAATCAAGTACCCGTGCACGCCGTTGTTGTTGTCTTGTTTCCCCTCAGTTCATGGCTGCATATTATTTAATTCACGCAAAGTTGCAAAGTTACGTCTTTATTGGGACTTGACGGATTATTTTACGTGACTCCGTGAGTTGGTCTCAATTTCTTCGAGGCAAGCTGCATAAACTGCATATCAGGCATTTATGTAATGCATCTAATTTGTGCATTAATGGCTGTTATGTTAAATAAAGTTTACTAACTACAGTAAATCAAGTACCCGTGCACGCGTCATTGTTGTTGTCTTATTTCCCCTCAGATGCGCTGCAATGGTGATCCTGCGCGCAATTCTCGGTGTTTATCGGCGTTTATCGGTGAATCCGATATTACAAAACCGATATCCGATTATTGTAAAATGCTTAAATATCGGGAAAAATATCGGCAAATCGATATATATCGGTCGATCTCTAAAAAAAGAGCGTTTCCGTTTTACGTAATAATTGACATAAATGGCAGATTCTTACCTGAGACTGTCTGACGAATATCCCATGATTCTCCTCACAGGTGAAGTAGCGTTTGCCCTGCACCGTGCCGTCGTTCTTCCCCTTGGGTTCGTCCAGAATCACACCGACCCATTTCCCTGAGGCGAACAGGGTGGCGCCGATATACGCCACGGTCCCGCGCTGGCCTTTCCCGATGACCTCCACCAGCGAGCCCACCTTCACAGGCCTCCCACCTCCGTCTGAACTCATCCTGCTGACCACAGCGGCCTGCAGCTGACACACACACACACTCCGCATCAGACAACATGTGCCACACTCACCCATACACTCTCGCCGGAGAACTCAGAACTTGTTACACATGATATTGTCATTAGCTGAACATGTTTTCATCTGCATGTCAACTCAACATTTGTCACATATGCTCTTCTATAAGACAACAATATGCATTAGTAATAAAGGTTATTATAGTTATGATCCCCATCTTAAACAAAAAATAAATAAATGCAAAGTGATTTTTTTCACCTAGATGTCAAGGCAGCATTTATTTTCATTTAAAAGGTTTAATTTCAAAGTGAAATGAAAATTAATAAAACTTATATGACGTATTTAAAAAAAAAACTGAACTTAATTACTAAGACGTGAATAAAAATAATGAATACAAACTATAATAGTATCACAAATAAAATGAAAGACGTATTTCTTAAGGCAATATTTCTCATTTTTAACTTAAAATTAGTGAAATTAAAACTAAATAAATATTAATAAATAAGCATTAATAAAGCAATAAGCCCCAAGAAGCCGTGGTTTACAGTGAATTTATAACAGCTAAGGGGCGTTTTTAGGCACGATAGCTGTTATAAATTCACTGTAAACCACGGCTTCACGGGGCTTATTGCTTTTATAAAACGGTTATTCCATATACGTAGTAAGGTTTCACAAAATAAAACAGAGCAAATAAAGTGTAATGATATTAATAAAAACAGTATTCTTCCACCAAACAATGTAGCTCCTCAGAAACAGTTGTGGTTGCTACAAAGTGGTTGCCGAGCAACACACAAACGTAAACAAAGGTGTATGTTACTTTGTAGAGTAATTTACAACAGCTTCAAACGCGGCTCAGCCAATCAGAATCAAGCAGAATCGAGCCGGATGAGGCTGCGGGAACAGTCATGTGCTTTTCCAAACAAACGATCTCTGTTGAGAAAACGGCGAGAGACGCTCAGTACAACACAGACCTGATCAGCACAGTCCCGGCGCTCAACATCACATGCCTCAAAACTCACTTCAGTTCTGTAGACCTGCTGTAGGATCAGGAAGAGCCGAGGACATGAACCACAACGATTTACTCTGATCTGGATGAAGAAGAACTGAATGTGTTCAACAGCAGAAGTTCACCAGCTCAAACCCAGATATGAAGAAATGATACGCAGCCACTGCGATCAACATGCATCTTCAACTTTTGAACACGGTGAGCTTGCATTTAATAAAGCTCAATGTTTTGCATTACAGCGAAGATCATAAACACGACGCTAACCACATGATGAATAACTAACCAGTGAACAAAGTAGAAATTAAACAGGTTGTGTTTAAAACAAGCTGTCAGATTGAATTACTAATTTGTGAACCATAAACCATTCGTCTATTTCCATAATTGTACCCGAGGAGTGCATGAATTCCTCCGTGCCATGGACATGTTTGGCTTAATTTCTCTGGATTTTCAAGAGTAAACACTTTGGCATCTGCTGCGTGAACCGTAGCACAGACGTTTACAGAGTCGACTACTGAGTGCTCTAGATATACCGTCACATGACCGATGCCAGCGGCAAAAACATGACGGGACTGAGAGCTGCCACACCATTTATTACTAAACATATATTCTAGCTTTAACATTGTTTGCTTGCTCTTTAAACATAAGTATCAGAGCTCTATGCAAAGCGACCTATATTTGGTTTTCAACCATGGAAAATGGGTTAAACCCAGCCATTTGGACATGGAGCCACACTGAGATCCCAATATCTCTGGAACTGAACCATAAAGGGCCTTAAAAATGAAGATACTCAAAGACAGGTTTGTTAATAACCTGAATCTAAAAGGATGTTGAGATATCTTTGATATGTCTTGAGTTACAGACATGCAAACTTTGGGAAAACAATATTATAAATGAGAGTGACTCCTGGTTAACATGTATTAATGGGTCGTGTTTAGTCACTATCTAGTGTGGTATTTTTCTACAATATTCACTCATCATGACAGTAAAATAGGGCATTCTAAGTCAATCTACTGCATTATTTCCTCTCAATCAGTAGAAAATATGGTTAACAAAAAATACCGTCATGTACCGTGAAACCGGTATAACTTTGAAAAATACGGTGATATAAAGTTTTGGTCATACCGCCCGGCACTAAGTCATCCTGTAATTTGGCTCCGAATCTCAGGTAAAAATTACCATTTTGACCCTCCCCTACAAAACAGTGGATTACTCGGTAAATATTCATCCGTGACATTTAATATTTTGGCTTCCAGCACAATTCTTGTTTGTCTTTCTTCAGAAAAATATGAACAAAATCAAAAAATGTTAGCTTGGGAAGCAATAACATAATATCATTACTTTGGATAATAAGAACACATATGATGTACACAACTTGAGTTTTTATTGGCAGCTTACAGGGTTGTATAATTATAAAGGCTTCTGTTTGACTGTGGTTTGGGGGATGAATGAGACTTGAAGCTCATGCTGCAATTAGTGCACTAGAGACAACAAAATAGACATTTTAGCTAAACTGTATTTTTAAAAGTACTAATATTGAGTTAGAAAGTAACAGAAAAACAATGAGATCGTCCAGATAAACCTGTCCACGTGTAAACACAACAACAGCCGATCTGTCAGCTAGTTATCAGTTAGCATTAGCTGTGATGCTAACCGGCCGGGCTCTAAGAAAACACCATGTTTTGTCTCTCAGACACTGAAAAGAGTCGGTAGTATTCACTGGAAACACGTTACTCGTGTCAAATACCTCAGTACAGGTGAATGTGTTCATATGTTGATGTTTTTCTGTGTCTTTCTCGTTCAGGTAAACTGGGCGCAGTCTCGCGCTAGCGTTTCCTCGGCAACCGCTGCTGTTGTCAGGGAAACGAGCGGTTTAGTCGCGCGCTTACCTGTAGATGAGAGCTCTAACTGAACGCGAACGGTCTGCCGTTTGTAAGGTTTGCAGGTTAGAACGAATAACGGACAGCAGCGCTCCGGTCACCGGACACTGTACAGCATTTCACTCGGGTCGCTTCCTGATCGGGTCACGTGATGCTCGGCGACGCCTCTGATTGGTCCGATGACTCCGCTCTCCGGCCACATAGCCGTGATCGAATATTTTTCTTTAGTAATTTCACTTTTAATAATGCATGTATGTAATCAGTTTTTTTGTCTCGCTATATATATGTACTTTTATAAACAATGTATGAATTAATTTAAACGCGTTAGTATTTTGGCGTTGGCTGCACAGTCATTTCCGGTTAGTTGGATGTCGACCGGGGCAATGACGTCATTAGAAGCCGCGTCCACTTGTAATTTTATATCTGTCTAAATATGTAGATGCTGACACCTCCAATAAGAAATATATATCTTCAGTTTCTTTATTATTATTATTCCCCCCTCCCCCCAGCTTGTCTACCAAGCTCTGATAAAGTATGGAATGTTATATTTACAGACTATACAAATTTTAATTACTTTTAATTAATTTAATTTAATTTTAAAACAATAGGCCGATACCTTTAGAAGCATGGATGCATCTGTCACGTTATGAAAGATGGCTAATAATCAATCTAAAATCTGCATTAAAGTTAAGAATTTAAAGATGAAGTTTAACTGGTTATGTAATGTCAGTAGGTATCACCTGATGAATATGCTGCATTACAAAGAAAAGAAAACAGACAGAAATGACCACAATTGAAGAAATGAAGATCTGGAAGGGTAGCGTATTGTTTCTGGCTGCTCGAACTACAGTGTTCACTGTCTGGGTGCTATTGGGTAGAACAGCATCCGCTCCGAATACAACATCCATGCTGTTTTGGAGCGAGGGCACACTCCTTAATTTTACACCAGCATCACTGGAGAGAGTTTGGAATCAAGATTCATTCATGAAAACTTAGTGTTATATGTCAAAATTTGCATTCAAGAATACACAAACATGCACACACATACTGTACGCATACCTGATGTTTGTTAAGGATAAAGTGCTGAATGATGTAGGGTAATCAGCAAAGAAGAAAGGTTCAAGCTGCAAAACAAGAGTTGTTTGACAAATTGGCTTTCTTTTCTTTCAACCCACTTTATATTAAGTGGCCTTAACAACTATGTACTTACATTTAAATTAATAATTTGGTACAATGCACTTATTGTGTACATACATGTTTTTACATTGTACTTATATTTTAAAAATACCTGCATGTAATTACATCTGTAATTCATTTCTTTTATAGTTACACAGTTGACCCACCCTTAAACCTACCCATACCACCAAACCTGTCCCTAACCTACCCGTATCCCACCTCAATAGCAGCAAACGTGTTTTGCAATACAATATGAACACAGTAAGTACATTGTACTTAATTTTTGATGTAAGTACACAGTAGTTAAGGCCACTTAATATAAAGTGGGGCCTTCTTTTGTAAAAGCATGTTACCCAAAATTCATAAGTAGACACGTCACACTCACCCCTGTTTTTATCAGCGAAGCCCTGTTCTGAAATTCAGTCGAACTTTTATTTGAAAGAGCAGCCACAAAGTTTCCGTTGGTGAGGATTGTCAGCGGAATTATCTGCACTGATTCTACACAAAAGTGGAGGTGGGGGATTATCACAGATTGCTGAGACGTTTCTAGGCAAAGTGAAATCTTAGAGATTAGGCATATCAGAAAAATCTAAATCAAATGTGATTTCAACTTACTAATGACATTAATAGTGGTGACATCAATGGTGAGGTTGAAGCCTGACGTTGGAGTTGCAGCTGCTTCTTTTAGAGTCTCCAGAGAGTCGGTGTTGCTGGGAATTGGTTCAGTGGATGTTTGGCTAAACTCTAATTCAAGATAATTTTCTTCTGCTCGGGTTCCTGGCAACGGCTCTGAAAGGAATCACACGTTCACAGATTACATCTGTCAGTGTGGAAGACATGAGTATTACTCTTTTACATATTCAATAAAACTGGGGTTAGTCCATCTGAAGTGGTCCAAAAATGTAAAAGTTGATTGCTTGGAAGTTGGGATCTCAAATAGCCTAACATTTTAACAACAGAATCATAGAGGACTTATATCTGGTCCTACATCACATATAATCAGCCCAAAAGTTGATTTGTTAAAATTGAGGTAATCTCCACTGGTTCGTGGTTACATATTACATCTAAATTCTAGTATACATTCAATTTTGTACTGCACTTTGCAATTTCAGCTATTCAAAACTACATCCTCCACTATGAAGTATGCAAATGTTTGTCTCATACCTCATTTTTGACTCTTGATTCTCATTTTTTATAGAGATCTGAATTTTTGTCAGAGAGTAAAGGATCAAATGTTTCTGAGCTGAAAAATCTGACTTCCACTGTAGTTGTGAGTGGTGCTGTTGTTTCAAGTAAAGGTGAGGTTGTCGTTGTGATGGCAAGATGGGCTGGTCTTGTAGTTAAGGTAGTAGTTGTAGATATAGAGTGGGTTGCAGTTTAGTTGGCTTTTAGGTGCAGGTATTGTTGAAGTTGTAGGCTGGGTTGACATCATTGTAGGTGGGGTAGTAGCTAATATTGTAGGTTGGGTTGTAGTAGCTCTAGATGGGGATGAAGCTATAGGCTAGGCTGTAGTTGTAAGCGTAGGGTGGGCTACAGTCAGAGCATGGGATTTAGTTGAGGTTGAAGGCTGGATTGCATTTGTTGTAGGTTGGGTTGCAGCAGATGTAAGATGGGTGGTACTGATTGAAAGTTGTTGTGTATTTATTTGGTTTGTAAAAGTTGGTTTGGTATGAAGTTGTTGGGATGTAGTTGTAGCTGTAGACTGAGTTGTAATTGTGGTGGGTGGGATTGTAAGAGTTGTAGGCTGGGTTGTAGTTGTAGATTTGCTTGCCGATACAAATGTTGCTTGGATTGTACTGGTAGGTTGGGGTAAATGTGTTGTCTGCTGCATTGTTATTGTGGGCTGAGTTGTAGTCTCAGTTGTAGCTGTTGTAATTGTTAGCTGTTTAGCTGTTGTAGGGTTTCATGTTGTTGTTGACTGGACTCTGTTGGTAACATGAGCGGTTGTGGTAAATGTTTGCGGAGTTATAATTGTTGATTGGATTGCAGCTGTTTTTGTACTCTGAGTTTGGGTTAATTCTGAGTTCGGTTGAGGTGTAGCTGTAGTTATAGGTGGGAGTGCAGTGTGTGTAGGTTGTGAAGTAGTTACAGGCTGGGCAGTTGTTGAGAATGTAGGTTGGGTTGTAGCTGTTGCAAGTTGTGATATAGTAATTGTGGATTGGGCATTAGTTATAGGTTGGATTTCTTTTTGTGTAGATGTGAAGTAGCTGTCTGGGCTGTATATGTAGGCTGGGCAGTTGTTGAGAATGTAGATTGGGTTGTAGCTGTTGTAAGTTGTGCTATAGTAATTGTGGGTTGGGCATTAGGTTGGATTTCAGTTTGTGTAGATTGTGAAGCAGCTGTGGTCTGGGAAGTTGTTGAGAAAGTAGGTTGGGCTGTACCTGTTTCAAGCTGCAATGTAGCTGTTGATTGGGGATTTGATATAGGTTGGATTGTACAGTAGGTTGTGAAGTGATTACAGGCTGGGCTATAGTTGTAGGCTGAGTTGAAGCTGTTGCAAGTTGTGATGTAGTCATTGTAAACTGAACCTTGGTAATTCCTATAGTTGTCAATGCAGTCTCTGCAGTTGAATTTTGGTCAGATGTTACACTTTTAGATATTCCTGATGTTAATTTTGTTGTGGATTCCAGTGCCTTTTTAGTGGTTGGTACATCAGTGAAAACTATAGTTTATTTTATTGTGGTTCCAGCTGTAATTCCCGTGGTTAACTGAAGTGTTGAGGTTGTAGTTGATTGGTCAGTAAGTCCTACAGTTGGCAGTTTAGTTTTCCTCTGTTGAAACATCGTCTGTTAAATCTGTTACAAATGGTGTTGATTTGTTTGTGACACTTGTAGAAATGTCTGGTGTGAATGTTGTTGTGGATTCCAATGCCTTTTAAGTAGTTGGTACATCAGTGAAGTCTTCAGTTGTTTCTTCTAAGGTGGATCCAGCTATTAAACTTGCGGTTGATTGTTGTGTTGTGTAACTCCTAGAGTTGACCGTTTAGTTTCCTTTGTTGAAACGTCTTCTGTTAAATCTGTTATAAATGGTGTTGATTTGAATGAATGAATGATGCATTTATATAGCACTTTGTGTATTGCTGTACACCCAAAGCACTTTACAATCATGTGGGGGGGTCTCTCCTCAACCACCACCAGTGTGCAGCATCCACCTGGATGTTGCAACGGCAGCCACAGGACAACGGCGCCAGTGCGCTCACCACACACCAGCTACAGGTGGAGAGGAGAGAGAGTCATAGAGCCAATCAAGTGGATGGGGATTATTAGGAGGCCATGATAGACAAGGGCCAGTGGCAGCAATTTGGCCAGGACACCGGGGTTACACCCCTACTCTTTACTAGAAGTGCCATGGGAATTTTAATGACCACAGAGAATCAGGACCTCGGTTTAACGTCTCATCCACTTGATTTGTTTGTGATACTTGTAAAAATGTCTGTTGTGAATGTTGTTGTGGATAGTTGGTACATCAGTGAAGTTTTCAGTTGTTTCTTCTAAGGAAGATCCAGCTATAAAACTTGTGGTTGATTGTTGTGTTGGGACTGTAGATTATTGGTCAGTAACTCCTAGAGTAGACAGTTTAGTTTCTTCTGTTGAAACTTGCTTTGAATTGTTTGTAAATTGTGTTGGTTTGTTTGTGACACGTGTAGATATGATGTGAATGCTGTTGTCAGTTCTTCATCAGTAGTGTAGTCAGTGACATTTGTAGTTATTTCTTCTACGGTGGATCCAGCTGTGAATCTTGTGTTTGATGGCGGTTTTGTACTTGTAGTTGGTTGGTCAGTAACTCCTGTAGTTGACGGTTCAGTTTCCTCTGTTGAGTCTTCCTCTGATTAATTATTTCTAAATGGTGTTGGTTTGTTTGTGACACTTGTAGATATTTCTGATGTGAATGGTGTTGTCAATTCTTCATCAGTAGTGTAGTCAGTGACATTTGTAGTTATTTCTTCTACGGTGCATCCAGCTGGTAATCTTGTGTTTGATGGTGGTTTTGTACTTGTAGTTGGTTGATCAGTAACTATCAAGTATGTGAATGGTGTTGTCAATTCCTGTGCTTCATCAGTAGTATTGTCAGTGAAGTCTATCATTATTTCTTCTAAAGTGGATTCAGCTGTAATTCCTGTGGTTGGTTGTGTTGTAGTTGATTGATCAGTAAATCCTAAAGTTGATAGTTCAGGTTCCTCCGTTGAATCCTCCTCTGATGAATCATTTGTACTGTAGATATGTCTGATGTGAATGGTGTTGTCAATTCCTGTGCTTCATCAGTAGTATTGTCAGTGAAGTCTATCATTATTTCTTCTAAAGTGGATTCAGCTGTAATTCCTGTGGTTGGTTGTGTTGTAGTTGATTGATCAGTAAATCCTAAAGTTGATAGTTCAGGTTCCTCCGTTGAATCCTCCTCTGATGAATCATTTGTACTGTAGATATGTCTGATGTGAATGGTGTTGTCAGTTCCTGTGCTTCATCGGTATTATTGTCAGTGAAGTTTATCGTTATTTCTTCTAAAGTGGATTCAGCTGTAATTCCTGTGGTTGGTTGTGTTGTAGTTGATTGATCAGTAAATCCTACAGGTGATAGTTCAGGTTCCTCTGTTGAATCCTCCTCTGATGAATCATTTGTACTGTAGATATGTCTGATGTGAATGGTGTTGTCAATTCCTGTGCTTCATCAGTAGTATTGTCAGTGAAGTTTATCGTTATTTCTTCTAAAGTGGATTCAGCTGTAATTCCTGTGGTTGGTTGTCTTGTAGTTGATTGTTCAGTAAATCCTACAGTTGATGGTTCAGGTTCCTCTGTTGAATCCTGCTCTGATGAATCATTTGTAGATATGTCTGATGTGAATGCTGTTGTCACTTCCTGTGCTTCATCTGTAGTATTGTCTGTGTAGTCTACAGTTATTTCTTCTAGGGTGGATCCAGCAATAGTTTTTGTGGTTGATTGTGTTGTATTTGGTTGATCAGTAACTCCTGTAGTTGGCGGTTCAGTTTCCTCTGTTGAATCTTCCTCTGATGAATCATTTGTAAATGGTGTTGGTTTGTTTGAGACACTTGTAGATATTTCTGATGTGAAAGCTGTTGTCAATTCTTCATCAGTAGTATCATCAGTGACATTTACAACTATTTCTTCTAAGGTGGATCCAGCTATAGTTCTTGTTGTTGGTTGAGGTTTTGTACTTGTAGTTGGTTGATCAGTAACTCCTGTAGTTGGCGTTTCAGTTTCCTCTGTTGAATCTTCCTCTGATGAATAATTTGTAAATGGTGTTGGTTTGTTTGAGACACTTGTCGATATTTCTGATGTGAATGCGGTTGTCAATTCTTCATCAGTAGTATCATCAGTGACATTTAAAGTTATTTCTTCTAAGGTGGATCCAGCTGCAATTCTTGTGGTTGAATGAGGTTTTGTACTTGTAGTTGGTTTATCAGTAACTCCTGTAGTTGGCGGTTCAGTTTCCTGTGTTGAATATTCCTCTGATGAATAATTTGTAAATGGTGTTGGTTTGTTTGAGACACTTGTCGATATTTCTGATGTGAATGCGGTTGTCAATTCTTCATCAGTAGTATCATCAGTGACATTTAAAGTTATTTCCTCTAAGGTGGATTCAGCTATATTTCTTGTGGTTGGTTGTGTTGTAGTTGATTGATCAGTAAATCCTACAGTTGATAGTTCCGTTTCCTCTGTTGAATCTTCC